AAAAAAAAAAAAAAAAAAAACGAAAACGATTTGCTTTTCACCATGTGCCTCAACTACTCGCTGGTGTGGGTTTTAATGAGCAAGAAAATGCTTAAATTCCAAACATCAGAGAGTAGTAAGTGGAAGAGTAGCAAAGACCATCAGCAATCCATGCCCAGGATTATCTATTCTTGAATAATGGTATTAACAATATAGTAGAACATGAATTTTTCACTATGTACCATAAATTTCTATGAAACCCGATTCAAAATAAAAACTCAGCACTCTAAAACACAAATATTGAAGAAAGCAGCAGCAGACAGCGGCTCGTCTAACTAGTCCAGTCTTTTCTTTAGACATTCATGATAGATAACAAACTGGGTTGGCTGAAAGTCTAAAGGGTTGTCAGCCTTTCCAAATAAAAATGCAAAGAGGGGTGCCTGGGTGGCTCAGTCAGTCGAGCGTCCGACTTCGACGCAGGTCATGATCTCACGGTTCACGGGTTCAAGCCCCACCTCAGGCTCTGTGCTGACAGCTCAGAGCTTAGCCTGCTTCCGATTCTGTGTCTCCCTCTCTCTCTTCTCCTCCCCCCCCTTGCTCTCTCTCTCTCTCAAAAATAAACATTAAAAAAAATTTTTTTTTAATGCAAAGAAATTATATCAAGGGTAAGCTTGGGCAGGATCACTATTTTCCTATGTGCCTGTGTTTCTCTAAATATGGAGTACTTTCTCATGGACAGAAGAGATTACTTCAATTAGGATGAAAATATTCTAAATAGAAGAAGAAAACGACTGATTTCATTTGTGTATCTAAAACACATTCATTAAGTACCTAAAATCTCGTCTTCCATTTCCATCAAAGTTTTGAATAAGCTTTTTTTTCTTTTAAAGTTTATTTACTTTGAGAGAGAGGAAGAGAGAGTGCTTTCAGGGAAGGGGCAGAGACAGAGGGGGAGAGAGAGAATCCCAAGCAGGTTCCTTGCTGTCAGCACAGAGCTGGACGTGGGGCTCCATCCTATGAACCCGCAAGATCATGACCTGAGCTGAAATCAAGAGTCGGATGCTTAACTGACCGGGCCACCCAGGCGCCCTTGAATAAACTTTTAACAAATAATGAGGCTTTTGTTTCTTGTTTGTTCTCTGCTGTGTCTACATAAAAACAAACTCCTTCTACCTTGAAGGGACCATTTTCTCAGAGATGTGCACAAATTGGCACTTAATGTTTACTGAATAGGACACTGAGGTCATCCTTCTTCATTAGTTGGGCTAAGGTCAACTTCTCAAAGGGAGCAATTAATCAAAGTACATCTTAATGTAGATTGGGAAGACCCGACACCTTGAACTGGGAACACTCCCGGACATTTAAAGGGAAAGTTGCCTATTCTTTTAAAATAGCCCTCATTGCACCCAAGGCAGATGATAAAACTCCTGCCATGAAATGTCTATCATCTTTTCCTTTTCAGGCGGAAATACATAATTTACAATGGCTGATATGCTCATGATGAGATTTTATTGAACTGACATTTACCACTGCAATAAATCTAAGGTCAGCTTAAATGTATTATACCAAACACATGTTTTTAGGCATCGATATATCTGGGTAAATGTGAACTAATTCGTTTTATCATGCTTTTGTTTACCACATCAGGATTAAAAGGTCGTAAAATCGATTTGAACTAAATGTGAAAAAATGATGAGAGGTGCTAAAAAATAAGAAAGATACAAACGCAATTCCAGGAATACACATTAAGGAAATACTATATAAACAAAGGAGTTACAGGTGAATAAGAAACCAACTGTAGTCTTGTTCTACTCATTTAAAATAACTAATGAATGCCAAGAAGACTGCTTGGCTTTAGGGGAAAAAAAAAGAACAAATGTATATGGCTGGACTTGCACTCTAACGATGATCATTTTAATAATCATTTCAATCATGAAACATTCCTGTTTCATGATGACTTGTGCCCTCCAATATCCTCAGTTGGGAAGATGACCTAGTCCCCCCCGCTTCTGGTCACACTTGGCATCCGGGGTAGGGTCAAGCCCCACAGACTTGGAATCTCTTCTGAGACGCTTTCCACTTGTAGGCTTCATGCTGTGGTAATACTTACCACTACCGTTTGACTTACCTCTCATTACTACATTCTGCCTAAACACAGATTCTGGTTCTCAGGCCCACACTCTTTCAAGGTCTTACGATATCATTAGCACACAGAAATGCCATTCGTATCAGAGGCATAAGACAACTGAAGGCAGGAGCTGTGAACACGTAGGAATTGACGAGTAAAACCTACTCCATGATTTAAAGCCTGTGTGTAGGTAGATAATGTATGTGTATGAAGGTATATGAATATACGTGTGCATGTATATGTGTCTATACGTTTCTTAAAATGGCCACATACCGTATGATCTTGACACGTTTGACATACTGCTGTTTACAAAACACAACAAACGAACTAATTTTTCCTTTTCAAGCGACACGTGTGAACGCTAGCTCCCAAATCACTTTTTCTCCGATTGTAACCTGGAGAAAAGGTCAGAAGTAGAAGGGGGAAAACTTGACGGGGTGGGGCTCATTAGCAGCTAATCATAACTTCCTTTCAATAATGCCCAAAGGATCTATTCTGCCGAGGCGCTTTGAAAACCAGACCAATGCACACCCTCCCAATTCCTTCCCTAAGAGCTGATTCTACATAAAACTTACGGGAATGTTTTACTACTGATCCCTGCGTACGAATGTCTGTATTCTGTATATATATGATTACGGTAAAACCTTCTAGTTACACTTGACTCATTTTTTCAAGCAGAAGAGTAGGCACAAAAGATCGTCTAGGATACTCACTGTAGAACAGCGGTAACACAGCATTTTGCAAGAACAGTGAGAACCATTTAGTGTGGATGTTTTTCATCCTAGGTATCACCAGGGCTTTCTTCAAGGGTAATTAAAGGTGACTTCCTCTTGAGGTCATAGCTTGGCCATCAGCCCGGGGAGCATTCTTAAAAGGTGAGAAACTGTCTTGACACTTTACATGGGGACCCCTGTCTATGGCCTTGCTGTCTACAGCCAAACATCTCTAAAAATGCCGCTGAGGACTTGTAACCACTCTGATCGGCTTTCCTTGGCTGCTTTCTGAGCCGATGATGGGGATGTTTCTGGGAAGTTACCAAAGCCTGAGGGAAATGCAACAGAAATGAGGGAAAACAAGAGAACGAATTGTGAGAAGTAGGTGCTTCAGCCTCACGGAATATTTCATTGGGTCTGCAAAAGTCTGCAGCATGCAAGTGAAGTGAAGAGAGGGCTTCCCTATTTGTGAGTCTGTTTCTCTTATTTCAGATAAATAAAGCACACGTCATCAAAAGGTTACGTCACGGCTTAGACTCACCTTACTTCAATCATCAGAAATAACAAAACTGACTTTAGTTTCGACGTGCTCCCTTTTGGTTAAGGTTCGCCATTATGGTCCCAGTGTGGCCTTCAGAGCACGGTAAAAAAAAAAATAATAAAACTCTGCAAGAAATCCCTCTCCCCACCTGTGGAGGTATCTCAACTGTTAAAATCCCAATTAGACACGAAACCACTCCTCTCTCTTGGGATGAGACCGGTTCTTAAGAGTAGAGATAACGTGCTATTTCGGGATCGGGTGTGTGGGTGAGTAAATTTTCTGTGGGGGAAAAAAGTAGTAAAAATCCAAAGGCCAGCCATAAATCTATCCAGATTACCATGGAGATGACATGTGGATTGTTCTCCAGACGGTGTCCACATCATTTGCTGCAGTTCGCCACTTTAGCCAGTTTTCACATTCAACTGGCTTCATTCAGGTTGACCCGCATAAACGCGAGTACGGGGCTGGCGGCCTTTCTGCCCTCGGGTCGGAATTTAGCAAGGGTCGTTCGTTAACAAATAAACAAGGGAAGGAAACGCGCCATGTCAGCAGCGGCCGGGGATCTACTATTTATTTCGCAGTCACTTACTGTAAGTGCTGTCCTCGTCTTTCGTGCCGTCGATGGTTCCATCTGCCTGCAGCTGCAAGTGGTAACCTTGTCGGCTGTAGAGTTTGGTGACTATACCCTTAAGCTGAGGCTCTGCAAAGAGAATGGGAATTTGCATCAATCGCTAAGTCGTGCACAGGCGGCGGGAGAGACTCGGGATCCGGGATTCTGATTTCATTTGCCGACGTTGCTGTCAAGGGTCACGCTACAACTTTAAAGAGTCCTCGGAAAGAAAACGCGCAGAGCAAACCCCCAAGTTTCCGAGGGAATGTCCAAACCGGAGAAACGACTGCTTTCTACCTCGTGACTCGGCCAAGCCCTACAGCTTCTGACGGCGGCTGGTTTCTGACAGCAGCGTGTGCCCCGGCTTCCAGAGCGGTACTCTAGCTCGTGGAGCGTTCGGGATGGGTTGGCGAACGGCAGGCTCTGCCTTTTCACAACGTGCCCCTTTTCACGTGGAAGGAACAGGAGAAATACGAAGGTAAGTTAGAGTGGTTTGCCCACCAGGGACCAGGAACCACGCTAACAAAAAGACTTCCCTCAGAATCATCGCTATTCGAAGACGGAGGGAATGGAGTCCCCTCCGTTCTGAGAATGTTGAAAAGGCACAAATAACCTGGAAAACCCAGCTGTGATACAAGAAAAGGGGGGGGGGAGAGGGAAAAAACCCCAACCGTTATCACCATACCCTATCATGTTAGTTATGCTTAGGGAAAGTGGGTGCAAAAAGGGCAGGGTTTTTGTTGGTGGGGAGGAAAGAAAATGAGTTCATACTTATCTTCACATTTAATACCAGAAATATGATCATCTAACCACACGGGTTTCTCAATGGAACTGATTTTCAGTTACGAATCACCGCAGATTAAGGAAGCACCTAATTCACCAAGAACAACCCTGCTATCCCAAATTTGCTTTGACTGAACACAGTCCCCTGCACTGAAACATTGTGTGTGTGATGATTCAGGCCACATAATCATGCTCTGCAACCGCTTCCGCCTTTCGAAAACAAGCCCAATGCACAGCCAATGCCTTAAAAACTTCGAGCAAACAGAAAATGGATGTCTGCGTTTCCATCCCATAGCGTGCGGAACACATAAACAGAGAAAGAACAAACTGATGACTAAGTCTGAAATTCTGTATTATTTGTCTCGTTAAAAGTAAGAAAAGAGCGTAAAGGATTCATTTGGTGAAGATCGGCCAAATACGCTGCATGCTCGCCTGAAGGGCTACCTTGACGCAACCTGACACTTAGAGCTGTGTGAATTCCCCCCCCCCCCCCCCCCCCCC